GGAAATGGACAGAATTAGGTCAACACATTCACAAAGATCTTAACTCCAGCTGAGACATCTCGCTAATCCTCGTCTAGACCACACCAAATTGATTTCCCACCATTATGCAGCTATTTAACGACTCGACAGTTATATAGAGATGCATGTAGAGAATCTGTTTACCACGTAAGAGGTCTGTCGTGTATTGATAAGCTCATTATTAGCCTCTCAGCTAGCTCGAGATGTCATTAGAATGGCTGTCAACGAGGAAAACACTTACCGAGCTGGGTCACCACCGCGATAAGGTGCATCAAATATTAAGTTCTCGCGAGCGGGCTGTTGTATTTTTACAATAAACTCGTCATAATTTTTCTACAAATCATATTTTCCTCTGTTGTCTCGCAGCTCAACTGTCTTCTTCCTCTTTCTTGCTTGTTGTGGGTTGACAATGGCTGCTCCACCTCGCGAGGAGTGTCCCTCGGTCACTGATTGGCCCGCATCAACGTCTGTCAAGCGATATAATCCCGCCCCTGCAACCTAAAGTCAGACAATCGTGAAGGGCGTTTTTTAACAGGACAATGGTCACATTTCTGTAACATTTTTACGAAATTTTTTAATATTTTCTTATATCCTGAAAATAAATAAATAAATAAATAAAATAAAAAAAATAAAATAAAAAAAATATACATATAAACCATTTATAAGATATTTGATTGGAATTTTCTTCTGTGAAAAAACATTTTTAATAAAATTTAAGAATATTTTTCAATATCCTAAAAATTAATATGTAATTTTAACATATACATATATGTAACATAAATAAAGAGTCCCGTCACTGATAGCAAATTATGTGGTGAAAATATAGAGATGTTGGGTAGTCTTTTCAATATTTTTTAGTAATGAATTCTGACTACTTTTGGATTACTTTTAGATTACTCTAATTTAGATTAATTTTTTAAACCATTTATAAGATATTTGATTGGAATTTTCTTCTGTAAAGAAACATTTTTTTTTACAAAATTTAAGAATATTTTGCATATTCTGCTGAATGCAATTTTGACACACACAAATATAGAGAGATTTTTTTTCAACACATTTCTAAACATAATAGCTTTAAAAACTTATTTCTAATAACTGATTTATTTTATCTTTACCATGATGACAGTAAATAATATTTTGCTTGATATTTTTCCAGACACTTCTATACAGATTAAAGTGACATTTAAAGGCTTAACTAGGTCAATTAGGTTAACTAGGCAGGTTAGGCTAATTAGGCAAGTTATTGCATATTGATGGTGAAAAAATTGCTTAAAGGGGCTAAAATGGTGTTTAAAAAATGAAAAACTGTTTTTATTCTAGCTGAAATAAAACAAATAAGACTTTCTCCAGAAGAAAACTTAATAATATATAATATTAATAAAAAGCTCCGTTACTGATAGCAAATTACATAATGAAAATATGCAGACGTTAGTCTTTTCAATATTTCTAAGCAATGTATGTATTCTGACTACTGTTGAACTGCTATTAGATTACTCTTCTTTAGATTAATATTTAAATCATTTTAGAGATTTGAATGAGATTTTCTTTTGTAAAGAAACATTCTTTAAGTCACGAATATTTTGCTTATATCCTAAAAATAAACGTGTCATTTTAACACATATAAAACATACATAAAGAGTGCAGTCACTGATAGCAAATTACATAATGAAAATGTAGAGATTGTAACATTAGTAGGTCATATTTTTTATGTATTCTGACTACTTTTGGATTACTTTTAGATTACTTTTAGATTCCTTTTTAAACCACTTATAAGATATTTAAATGACTATTATTTAAAGAAAAAGGGATAGAGACATAGAACCCCAGATTTCAAAGTGGCATTGATTCACTGCCGAAAATACTGAATCAATGTTGAGGAGCTACCCATTTCCAAGCACTAAAAATACTCACATTGAATTGCCGTTGATAATTCAATCATTTGCCTTTCTTGAAAATACTTAAATCAAGATAAATATTTGTCCAGTTTTAAAAAGTTTGACAACAAGGTGAATTACACATGTTTTTTTCTCGAATAATTAAATACTATAAGTGGATTTTGAGGCACATTGTTTTGCAGAGTTTTCTGAATTTGCTATTTCATGTTAATTTGCTTATTCAGTCACTTTAACTAGAATGTCAAAAGTTTGGCTATAGCTTTAGCCATGAAACCTCTAACACTAAATTGACCAGTGTTTCAGTTTCATTGTCCAACCCCTGTATATGCACTACATAATTATTTCTGCATCAAACAAATAATGACTTGCATTAACATAAAGGTTTTACTTGAATGGCTCTACGCATATATTAACAGATAAAAGACGCATTCACCATCCAACAGAGACTTTTATTTAATCTTAAATCTCAGCAAATAAATGTCTTCATGACAAGTATATTATGTCGATAAATAAATAACAATCAAGTAATACTATAATGCAGCAAAGCCCTCCACGACACGGGCTCTGGTAATGGCACAGTGGAAAAGACGAAACTCACTGCATATTAACAAGAAACCATGAGTTAGATGTAAAAAAAAAAACAACAACAAAAAAAATGCAATTTATAAAAAGCATTTCAATTCGATTACTGCATCACAGCAAGCAGTTGTTTTTTTTCTGTATATATTTTCCTCGACATAGTGCATATGCAACAACATCAACTCTGATAACAATGACGGTAAGTATAATTGATCATGGATCCTAAGCTGAAGCGGTAAAATATACAATCGTTGCGTGCCGTATAAGCGAGAGGACATTCGGCTCCTCTGAAACATGGTCATTCAACATCAAGCAGAAAGAGATTCTTAAGAAACGGCAAAGAACAATATGAAATGCTGGCATTGTCCTCGTTATTACGTAAGAATGTGAAGAGATACTATGGCAACTGGTGGAAACGCGAGGTGACGTCACATTATGGGATGTATTTTGGCACTGAATCTGTTTTATATACTCGATATTCAATTCAAAATATTTACATTCAATATGTTCTCGTCTTGATGTATGCGTCTGTATACAAACATGGGGACATGAGAGTATAGGTTTAACATTTCAGATTATATACTTGTGTGTGTGTGTGTGTGTGTGTGTGTGTGTGTGTGTGTGTGTGTGTGTGTGTGTGTGTGTGTGTGTGTAATTGTTTATGTGGTTTACGAGGACAAAGTATAATAACATCACTATGACCAAATTGTACTCAATTATGAGGACATGCCTTACGTCCTTGTAATTCAAAATGCAGAAAAAAACATAATATAATAGTGTTTTGGCACTTTTAAAAAAAAAAAAATGTCAAGGGTTTTCTGGAAAGGTTGGGTTTAGGGTTAGAGTAAGGTGATATAATAAGTATTTTTCAGTATAAACTACATTAGGCCTATGAAGAGTCCTTATAAACCATACATACAAGTATGTGTACTTGCTTATATGGTTTAAAAGGACACCAAATTGAACAATGACAAAAGTAGGACAAGTTGTTCTCTATTAAAGTGGTTTGTGAGCACATGTTGTATGTCCTAGTAATCCAAAATGCACAACAAATCAATGATGTTTGGCACTATCTTAAAATTTACCAGTGAAGGTTGAGTTTAGGGTTAGGGTAAGGTGACATATTAAGCTTTTTCCAGTATAAATGACATTATGCCTATGGGGAGTCCTTATAAATTATATATACAAGTGTGTGTACTTCCTTATGTGGTTTAAGAGGACACAAAATTGTATAATGACATAAGTATGATGAGTTGTACTCTGTTAAAGTGGTTTATGAGGACATGTCTTATGTCATTGTAATCCAAAATGCATAACAATCATAATATAATGGTGTTTTGACACTTTCTTAATAATTGCTAGTGAAGGTAAGAGGATTTAATAAGCGTTTTTCAGTATAAATTACATTATACTTATGGAGAGTCCTTGTAAACCATATATATATATATAAATATATACAAGTGTGTGTGTGTGTGTGTGCACTCAAAAACTTTTTTTTGCTGCTTGTTTAAACTATTTATTTAATATGAGCTGAATTAACAGGATTCTTGATTTTTGGGGGGACAACTTAATTGTTTTATGTTAAATCCACTTAGTTATAAGTTAAATTAACTTAATCAATTTCTGTTGGGACGACATGAATGAGTTTTGTGGAACCCTAAAATTGTCCCAACACAAATCTATTAAGTCTAAATATCCAAATAAGTAGACTGAACATAAAACAATAAAGTTTTCCCAAAAATCTCAAGAATTGTGTTATCAGCTCATTTTAAATAAGTAGCTTGAAAAAAACACAAAAAATATTTTTTGAGTGCGTGTACGTACTTGTTTATATGTTTTATAAGGACACAAAATTGTATATTAACATAAGTATGACCTAGATGCACTATTAAGATGGTTTATGAGGACATGCCCTGTGTCTTCGCAATTTTAAAACACTTAAAAGTTATACTTAATGGGGACTTTAAGTTTTGAAGGTCAAATTTGGGGTTGGGTTTAGGGGTAAGAAAAGAAAAATAATAATTAAATAAGTTTTACAGTAAAATATACAGTATGCCTATAGAGAGTCCTTGTAAACCATATATACAAGTGTGTGTGTGTATACACTGAAAAAAAGCTTTTCTTACTGAGAGTTTTTGTCTCGTTTCTAGTCCAAATATTTTCAAATTCTTAAATCAGAAGCATTTTCTAGATAATAAATAAATTCAGAAATAATATGTTAAAATCAAGTTTGAGGTGAGCAAAATAATCTCACTTTAAAGCAAAAACATGATTATTAGAGATTATTTTTCTTGTTTTAATGAAAAACTCACTTAATGTTGGCTCAATATCTCTAAAAAAAAGACAATATTGTTTGCTTGTCTAGAAAATGCTTCTTGATTTAAGATAATTTGTAGATATTTGGAGTAGAAACAAGCCAAAAACTCTTGAGAAAAAAAAGTGTGTTCATCTTTGTCTCACTTCTCTCTCTCTCCCCATCTCACGTTTTCTCTTCCACTCCTTCATCCCTTTTTCAGTCCATAAGGCACCAAACCTTGTTACAAAACATGCCCGACTGTGAAGCTCATACTTACAATGTGTACTTGCAACCTTTTTTGTTGTCACTTCCAGTATTTCCTTACTCTGGTGTACATTTACAGTCAATAACAGACATACACACACATGTAAACACACACTGACATACTACAGGCACCTGCATAAGCGCACAAGCAAACACACTTGTTAAAGTTGCCGGCTGAGAGGGAGAAGAGAGACCGAGTAGGAATTGTGTGTTGCGATGAAGAAAACAAATGAAAGTCTTGCAGAGAGAGAGAAAGAGAGAGAAAAATAACTGTATTTCTTCTGTTTCTTCTCCTTTCCATTCAAACCACAATTTGGATTTGCTTGTGGACTGCCGCTTCAGATGGACACCTCATACTCTCGTGTGTCCTAAAGAAAGACAAAGAGGAGAAAAACACACTTCTATAGGGCAATATAATGGAAAAATACATTGATTTTCATGATCATAACAATATTGTCTACTCATTTACATTACAAGATGGTAATCAAAAGTAAATGAATGAGGCTAGCTATATTTATATATATAAAACAGTTCTGTCTGGTTCTTGAATCTGATTGGCTGATAATATTCTGCAATAACTGCACTCTTACAGACTCTTTACTCTTATGTATTACTCCGCCCACATAGAATGACAGCAGATCAAAAAACTCACTACAGTTTGACAAATATTGCAGCTGTTAGACAACATAATGTACTTTTGAGGCTATTTGAGGCAAGAATGTGGTTGTTTAAATTGCAAATATGCAGTTTATTTATAAGGACAGAGCCTATTTAAAAATATTTATAATTTCTGAGATACAGCACGTCGGCATCTATTAGCCTGTCATTTTGAGTAGAGCAAAAATGGTTAACGCTCCACCACAAGATGGCGATAGAGACCGCAAGACCTTAAGGGAGAAAAACAACATTTTCTCAGCTTAAGTTTCATAGAGCTGAACAAATCCTTACAGAACTGACAAGTGACATTCTAAGTCGATCTCTCTCTCTTTTGTATGTTGTAGTGCTGTATTTATACCATAGTAATCTGGTAGTGTTTGCTTTGCTTTGGCTTTTTTTGGGTTAATTTTGTGAAATCCCAATTGAAACAGAGAAATACTGGAAAATGTCTCTAGACTGATGCCATTTCATGCCAATCAGCCTTATAATCTTAATATGTCAGTAAAATCACCTGTTTTGTCATCATTTTAGACATTACGCTAGAGAATCATGCTAATGACAGCTGCAGATTTGAATGAATGGAGGAGGAAAGTGTTTGATTTTCTTTTTTATATACACGATTGTGCCGCAGAACTGTTGTATAAATGCAATATTGCATAAATCGCACCGCACTGCAACTTGTGTGATATTGTGAATATATATACAGTATGTCGTCAATCGATTAAAAAAAATGAACAATGCAATTTTGCAATTAATCACAAATAATCACATTTAAAAGATTGAAACTTCGAAAAAAAGCTAATTTTAGCTAATCAAATGTACAACTAATGTAAACGCAAGACAAAAAAACTATTTAAACTCAAAATCTAATTGTTTATTAAAATTTTTCTTAACTTGTAACACAGATTTCTTCATGTAAACAACATATCCACAACAAACCATCAAGATCCTGGCTTGACAGCCATATTTATTACAGAAATAAAAATACAGGCATGTTAATGCCATTTTAATTTCAAAACAATCAATGCCAATAAAGAAAACATTGATTTATATGTTGGATTCTAAGTGGACTGCAAAAAATGCCAAAATACAGGCATTGCAGATATGGAAAATGGAAAATTATAATATAATAAACTATTGAAAACAAACAATTGCACTCATTGAAAAGTTGTATTACTGTGAGTTGAGAACATTAATTATAAAGTAGAAACAATTTTGCTTAGTCCAACTTTACATTCAGACAGTTGATAAGACAGTCAAGTCTGTTGACATTATAGGAGGACAATGTGGCCCTTTTCGTTTGAATGATGTGAGCTGAGAGTGAGAACAGTCTCTGACAAGCAGGATCACTGAATCAGCATATTAATTTCGGTGCCTAATTTTGTTGCCACTTGTGTTGCGACAAGGATGTAAGAAGCATCAAGGGGAACATCAAAGACACCCACAGGTACGTGTTGTGTGACACCAAAGATTAATTCTTACAGGGACTTTGGTCACACCATCTCGAAACATTTAAATAATTTTAAGGGGTACAGAGGCGACATCTGTGATTTTTTTTTTCTTTTTTAAATATTTCCCAAATTATGTTGAACAGAGCAAGGGAATTTTCACAGCATGTCTGATAATATTTTTTCTTGATAAGCTCTTACCCCTGCCTCATAGAGAGGGTTGTTGAAGTCAGACTCCACTGTAATGGGGCTGTAGGAGTGGGTGTGAGAGAGAGACTTCCAGAACATCGGCTTCCACTGCCACCTACACACACTGAGACAGACAGAGAGAGAGAGGTGTTGAGCGAGAGAGCTAAATAAAGAGCAGATGTGAAGAAGACTTTGACAACAATCAGAAAAAATAACTGAATTGCGAAGTCAACGTGAGACCTTTGACTTTATTAACGTGCTGCAGTTTTAATAGAGAATCAGATTTGGAAATCATGGAATGTGGCTCTCAATGCCACAAAAGAGACACAGCTTTTAATTTAAATGTAAATAAGTTTGTTTTTAAGTGCAATTTTGTGTTTAAAAGACATCTTATATTCTTGCGAACATACCGTGTCCAACATTTTGACTCAAGCAAGACTAAATTTGGCCTATCAATGACAATGATTACATAGACATCAGCAGGGGCAATTTTAGGATTTTCATGTTAGGGGGGCTCAGCTCCTAATAAGGTAAAAGAAATTGTATATATATTTATATACATATATATATATATATATATATATATATATATATATATATATATATATATATACATAAAGCCTAATAATACATATATAAGTACATATATAAACATCCTCAACAGCATCCAAGGGTTAAGGCCTTTTACATAAGTTGCTTTTTGAATGTTCCTTTCATGTTCCCGTTTTACATCTTATAGTACAGTGTTTCTCTACCACGTTCCTGAAGGACCCCAGCACTACAGATTTTCCATGTCTTCTTAACCGAACACACCTGATTCAGATCATCAATAGCAGAGACTGAAAGACCAGTGAATGGTGTGACAGTCAATGGAGACCTCCAGGAATGTGGTGGTATAGTACATCATTTACGCCAGTATTTGACGCTAGTTTCTGCTCTGCTGGAATTTTTTATGCACAACAATTGGTGCTCGTCATGGCACCATAGGTGATTTTAGGCATAATTGTTTTTAATGTTTTTAAAAAGAAGTTTGCTTCTCACACTATACGTGTACACCAGGAGTGCCCAAACATTTTCGTATGAAGGGCCAAAAACCAAATATCATTGATAGCCGTGGGATAAATTTCATGGGAATGAAGGCTGCCATGGGTAATTTCTTAATTCTTATGATCTGATTAAAAAATAAATGCAGCATAACTTTTTAAATTATAATTTATTGCAATAAATACATAAACAATTATATTTATAACACAGTGCAGATCAATGCTGAATCTACTAGTCAAGCAGAAGCTGCCTTTGGCTTGATTCACTCACCAATGTCTCTGCATTATCCTCTATGCGTCATATTTAGGCTATATTTTAAACTAAATCTGATTCGTTTACACCATTTAAATTGAAACATTTAATTTCAGATGGCTTTTTTGAAGCTTAACAATAAAACAAACAAATAAAAGGTTACATTAAATTTGAAATGACAGTCTCTAAACCATTCTCAGATGGAATGGCGGGCCAATTCAAAGTTACTATGAGCCAAAATTGGCCCAAGGACTCTTTGGACATCTCTGGTGTAAACAGATGACGGCGGATACAAATTCCAGGCCACATCTGCCATTTAATTCACTAACTTTTCATTCAAGTTAAAGCACTTCATAATGTCCATTTCCTCCAGAATTCTCAGCACAGTCATGGCCTGCGCCTGAAATCTCCTACTACTCGGTAGGTACTGCATTTGAATTTAAACGTAGTACTCCATTAGGGGGCGATGCAGTGGCGCAGTGGGTAGCACGTTCGCCTCACAGCAAGAAGGTCGCTGGGTCGCTGGTTCGATCCTCGGCTCAGTTGGCGTTTCTGTGTGGAGTTTGCATGTTCTCCCTGCATTCGCGTGGGTTTTCTCCGGGTGCTCCGGTTTCCCCCACAGTCCAAAGACATGCGGTACAGGTGAATTGGGTAGGCTAAATTGTCCGTATTGTATGAGTGTGTGTGGATGTTTCCCAGAGATGGGTTGCGGCTGGAAGGGCATCTGCTGCGTAAAAACTTGCTGGATAAGTTGGCGGTTCATTCCGCTGTGGCGACCCCAGATTAATAAAGGGACAAGGGACATATTCTGTATGAATATGTAAAGTATGAATGGAGTTCGGACGTACTACATCCGCCATTTTGTCATGGTCACGTGCCTCAGTTGCGTCAGTTGCGTCGCTTCACTTACATTCATGAATTCTCTCGTGGGGCATTATGGGATAGCGCAGCGAGTATGGGATGCGCACTTCAGAATCTCGCCAGAAGTAGTAAGTCATCCAGGTATTTCTCGCATACGGATTTTTGAATTCTATGAATTCAGACATACCACTCGGCTCGCGTACTGATTTTAGCGTACTATATATGGTCTCTTGCCTGAAGCCATACAATTGTTTGTTGTTTAATGCTGTGTGTGCGTCCTGTCGCAAAACGTAGCGAAAGTACTACAAAATGATAATAGTTTGATTGCTGTGTTTACTTGTCTGTACTGCATTTTAAAATTGCGACTAAAATAAGAACACTTCACATGTCTTAATACGATTTCTCTTTAGTTCGATTATGACTTTAGTTTGATTAAGGTAATCAAAAAATCACTGTTTAGATGGTAGACATTTAATCAGAGTACAGTATTAATTAGTATTGGTGTCCATGTAAACATACAAAATCAAGTGAAGTACATAAATTAGACAGACTTCACATGTGTAGTAATTCATTCATTTGATGACAAGTCTAGTGTTGGACTATTGTTATTCATGCATTAAGTGCTCACTTATGGTCCACAGTCAGCCTTCTTGTGGCCAAGATATCTATGTTCCTTCATTTATTTTCCTTTGGCTTAGTGCCTTATTTATTAGAGGTAGCCACAGTGGAATGAACTGCCAACTATTCCAGCAAATGTGTTACGCAGCAGATGCCCTTTCCAGCCACAACCCAGTACTGGGAAACACCCAAACACACTCCTTCACACATACCCATTCATTCGTTTTCTTTTCGGCTTAGTCCCTTTATTAATCCGGGGTCTCCACAGCGGAATGAACCGCCAACTTATCCAGCACGTTTTTAAGCAGCGGATGCCCTTCCAGCCGCAATCCATCTCTGGGAAACATCCACACACACTCATTCACACACACACTCATACACTACGGACAATTTAGCCTACCCAATTCCCCTGTACTGCATGTCTTTGGACTGTGGGGGAAACCGGAGCACCCAGAGGAAAACCACACCAACACAGGGAGATCATGCAAACTTTACACAGATATACCAACTGGTCCAGTCGGGACTCGAACCAGCAACCTTCCTGCTGCCCTGGGTCTATGTTTAGATGTCTATTAGACGTCTTTTAACTATACTAGTCATTTTTAATGATTTCTGCCAAAATAAAACAAAATAAGATATCTTGAAGAATGATGGAAACATGTAACCATTGACACCCATAGTAAGGAAAAACAAATGCTATGGAAGTCCATGATTAAAGGTTTTCAACATTCTTTAAAAGATCTTTTCATGTGTTCAACAAAAGAAAGACTCAAACTGGTTTGAAACAAATGGAAAGAGAGTAAATGAAGACAGAACTTTCATTTTTAGGTGAACTATCCCTTTAATGGCAGGTTCCAGAGGCCAGTTTTCTCTTAAATAAAGTAAATAATGCCTAATATAGTAGACAAGCAGCAGCAGTTTATGGCAGTTATTCCTTTTCTCAGACAGAGATGTTGCAACATTTTGGTGAACTAACACAAAAACAAATTTCCCCCAGCATCTGATAAGGCAGCTAGACGTTGGCCAGACATGACTTGGACCAAGCCTGGGGAAAAACAGGCTTTCGGATTGGTCAACTTGTGGACTTTTGCTCTTTCTTAATGACAAATGATCATTAACGCATATGTTTCCTCACTCTATTTAGTTCAGAAAGCAATAAGATAACGCAAATTTAAAATAAAATCACACAACTTGTATTTTTTGCTCTTTAATGCCTAATCATTCATAGTAATAATAAACAGCAGTTGTGTTAGTTACTCTTAAATAGCTTAAAAACATACAGTTAAAGACAGAATTATTAGCCCCCCTGCATATTTTTTCCCCCAATTTCTGTTTAGCGGAAGATTTCTTTCTCAACACATTTCTAAACACAATATTAATTCATTTCTAATAACTGATTTATTTTATCTTGATGACAGTACATAATATTTGACTAGATATTTTGTTTGTTTGTTCTATGTAGGAAGACTAATAGATCAAAACTTACTTGCTTTTACCCTATAAACAGTGAGACAATATTTCCTTACATTTTGAAACTCTAATATTGTAGTGTTTATACAGTATAAAACTATATATCTTTTGAGAACGTGAAGTATCTAGTTTCCATATCTTGAGATGGATTTTGACTGATGATTATTAGTCATCTTGTGCTGATGTTTGGTACTGCACCCAAACAAAAAACTATTGTAAGCTCATTTTTTAAGATATCAGACCCTATCATACACCCTGAGCAATAGGGAGTGTATGGCAAGATTTGTTGCTATATTAAGACCAGTGCAACTGTTATTTTCACGCTTTACCCCATGTTGTTGAAATAGCAAATCCAATTGCGCCAATGTGTGACTACCAATGTGGGCAGAGTGCGTGTCTATGCAGGTCCAAAACTTTTCCAAACACTTTGCTTAAACCACACAGGATGTACAGTAACACACAAATATGTTTACAAATGAAAAAAATAAAAGATTAAAATGTTACAAAATGATTATTTTCTACATGAAAATAAAAACCATCTCCATAACTTCTTCATCTCGGGGGGCTTTTTCAGTTTATTCATAACTATTTGCATTTGTATAATGTTATTATTATTAGCAGTATTATTTATTACATGCATATTTATATTTGTTTAATTAAAAAAACTAGTTTAGATTTGTCTGTCGGGTTTTAAAGATTTATGCATCACCATATGAGGCATAAGAATAGGACGTGTGTTTGGATATAACTCAGTTTTTTGACCACACTTCGTTATTATTGTTCATGTATTCATTTGCTGGAAATTAGAAATAAATGTAAAAATAGTTTTGAAGCAAATCTTTGCGTTTAAACTAAATTAAATATGTAGACTATGGATGTCTTCAGTGGAGTGAGTTTTCTTATCCACATAAGGAGTAAAGAGTAAAAGTAAAGTAAAGTGAAAGTAAAAAGGCTGAATGGAGAAGGATTGTTCTTAATCATCTCGCTGCAGATGGTTTGTTTAGCTGTTTTCTCGCTAGTGAAATGTTCAGTTTTTCCACTTACAAAGTCAGCCATGTAAATAACTAAGACGCCATGGTGTGACTAAACTGACTCTTAAAATGAATAGGAGTTGATACTCTTATTGGTTTAATGCACTTTATGCTCAAAACACACCCATAAGTCATTAAGAGAATAAGCACATCCCTGTTAGACCATGCGTCAGGGCGCAGAGTGTATTTTTCTGTCCTTAAAATAGCAAAAATGAATTTGGACACACTTTTAATGCTTTTGCGCCCTGCGCTTTAGACTTTGCGCTTAGAACATTAAAATAGAGCCCATCGACTTCAGATTTTGAAAATCATTTATTCCGATATTTAGCTTTAAATTTAGGCTAAAAGAGGTGTTGTAAAATACACATGTAATGTAAAAATATATACATTTACTGTTTTATTATTTTCATGAACTTAAAGTCACATACCTTTTGTTAACTTGACAAGTGTTTTCTTTAAAATGAGACCAATCTTGAATCTATGCATAAGAAGCGTTTTTGTTATTTCCACGCCTATGTTGAAAAATTAGGTTGAACAGTTAGGGATTAAAACAAAATCTTTATTAATTCTAATATTAAGTGATTGTAAAAAAAAAGAGAAACTGTATAATGCATATGGAGATGTGAAGTATGTATTTTATGAAGTGGCATATTTTAAGTCTACTGGGGCTAGTTTATTTGGCTTTTATTTAATGCTTTTAAAAGCATCATATAACAATCATAAGCCAATCATAATCTTTAAAAACTGCAAAAATAGCATAACATACTTTCAAAATACTTTCAGTAAATATAACTTAAGGCGACGCAGTGGCGCAGTGGGTAGTGCTGTCGCCTCACAGCTAGAAGGTCGCTGGTTCGATTCTCGGCTCAGTTGGCGTTTCTGTGTGGAGTTTGCATGTTCACCCTGCGTTCGCGTGGGTTTCCTCCGGGTGCTCCGGTTTCCCCCACAGTCCAAAGACATGTGGTACAGGTGAATTGGGTAGGCTAAATTGTTCGTAGTGTGTGTGTGTGTGTGTGTGTGTGAATGTGTGTGTGGATGTTTCCCAGAGATGGGTTGCGGCTGGAAGGGAATCCACTGCGTAAAAAATGTGCTGGATAAGTTGGCGGTTCATTCTGTTGTGGTGATCCCGGATTAATAAAGGGACTAAGCCCACTAGAAAATGAATGAATGAATGAAATATAACCTAGGCTTATTCTGAAAACATACCCCTACATGCATTACTGGAGATCACAAAATACGCCCCAGGAGCTGTTTTTTTTGCAGTTTTTGATTTCGCAAATCCACAAGAGGCCGCTGTGTATGCTTTGACATTGCAAATTTCTCCCACGAGTGCCATTCGCCCCAGCTCTTCTCATGTAAATTCAGCAGAAGGTGGTATCGACTGACTGACTGACTGATTAAATGACCAAACCCCCCACCCACCCCCTTCGCTATACCCAACCGATACTGTTTTAAAAAGCACAAATTGACCCGTCCACCCACTTCTCAAACCCAACCAACAGTGTTTTGAAAAGCAATCGAGAAAAATAAAGGTCCTCGCCTGATTTTTACCACATTTTCAGACTTTACCACATTCTCAATATTTTAATATATTATATTAAAAGTAACTTTTACCCAAAAGTGTCAACAAGTTAGGATCCTCCCCATTTTGTCATATCTTTGTCATAAAAAGCTAAACGTATATATACATAAGAAGTTTCACATACTGTATTAATCTCTTTTTATATTGCCAGCGTGGTGTTTGTAACAAAACAGAGAAAATTAAATATATAAAAAGTCTGTAAAATGACTTTATAATGAGGAACTCTGGATGTTTTTGAAAGTGAATAGGATTCAATGAGTAAATGCATTAAAAAAACTCACTTGGTGTAGTACATGTAGATTCCTCCAATCAGGAGGATGACCAGAATGATTGGCAGGATGATAGCCAATGCAATGTTCTCACTCAGCATCTGATGGGAGGCGTCTAATGACTGAGAAACTGAAAGAGCAAAGTAAACAACATTCACATCATTACGTGACAGAACTAGCCAGACTGCTGAACTAATGAAAATAACAGATACAATGATAATCAACGTTACCCTCCAATTTATGATCATCCAGAAGTCCTTCATAGGCCACTGCAAAAAAAAAAAAAACATTCTTAGTCAATTGTTAAGATAGAAATGACAACTCTACAGTGGTGGACATGTATAAAAAGACTTGGATTACTTAAAAACTTTCACACTGTTTTAATCCCTTTTTATTGCATATCCAGTTGAAGTGAAAATGATTTGCCTTCCTGTGAAATTTCGGTTTTCTGTTTTAATCCACACACCTTTACAGAAGGGCGGTGGGCTGTTCCACTGAGATGGGTGTCCTGGGACACAGTTGATGATCACTTCCCCAATGAGCTCGTAGCCCTCATAGCAGAAGAAGCGCAGTGTCTCGCCGGCCTGGTAACTGTGCTTGTACAGAGTCTGGTAGCCGTTGTCTGGCACACCCGGGTTTGGGCATGGATCATATTTTACTGTGAGGAAAAAGAGGGAATCGGTTTGACAGGTGGTTTATAGGTTTGTGCATTACAGAGAAATTTGCATAATATCTGTAATATGAATCCTTTTTCACAAGACAAAGTCAGCAGCATCTTAAATCCTTGAAAGTTTTTAATGTTTAGACATTAATTATAAATTAATGTTAATTAACATAAATTAGTGTTTTTTTTTGTTAATGTATATTTATGTGAATATATATATATATATATATATATATATATATATATATATATATATATATATATCTTCTTTGCACCAAATTCCAAAAACGAATTACTGTTTATACGAGGTATTTCTAATGCAGAGTCTATGGGCAGCACAGTAAATTTGATGTTTTTCTTTTGTCTTGCTGCCGTTATCAGTTTTTTTTCTTGTTATGAAAGTTTTTTTTTTTTATTATTTCAGCGAATAGGAATAAAAAATATAAAAAATGTAAATATTGTTGTACTCTCCCATTCACTATGCTCTAAGTTTGCCCAACTATAATGACATCTGCTACTGAGAAACACGGAAATGTGAAAAGGGTCCATAACTATTACTAGCGATCAAAACTTTGAGGGTAGTTGGCTGCTAAAACTATAATATCACCATAAGATTCTTCAGTAATCAATATGCTGATTTGATGCTCTACAAACATTTATGATAATTATTACTGCTGACTACTGCTAAACGTTTTGTAAAACTATTATACAGTATGTTGGATACATGAGAATAGCATTTATTATTCGAAAACTTTATAAAAGGCACTTGTGAACAATTTATTTTATCCTTCCTCATTAAATGTATACATTTATTCTAGAAAATATGTTTTAGTAACCTTAAGCTTTAGAACAGTACCCAGGATTAAAATATTACAAAACATATTATTTTCTAGCCTACATAAATTTAAAAACCATATTTTCATGCCTCCTTCATCTCGGGAGGCTTTTTCAGTTCATTCATGAGAATTTGCTTATGTATAATGTTATTATTATTATGAGTATTATTTTTTATATGCATATTTATATTTGTTTTATGAAAAACAAGCTTAGATTTGCCCACCTGTCAGGTTTTAGAACATATAGGGCACAGCATGTGTATTTGGATATAACTCTGGTTTTTGAACACACTTCATTATCATTGTACATTTATTAGTTTGCTGGAAATTAGAACTGAATTTAGAAATGGTTTTGAAACAAATCCTTGCGCTTAACAAATAAAATTAATTATTTATAGGCTAATTGATGTCTGTGTGTACAAGGTTTCACTATCCACGAGAGCGAAACTGAAAGTTAATAATGAGGAGGCTTATCTCTCATTCTCGCGCAGTAGCTGCTCTGTTTAACTGTTTTCTTGCTAGTGAAATGCTCGGTTTTTCTACTTACAAAGTTATCATGTAAATAGCAAATGCGCGCGACGCAACTGGCTCTTAGAGGGAATAGGAGATGAGACTGTTTTTAGATTGGTTTATTCTCAAAACACACCTATAACTCATTAGGAAAATAAGCTCAACCCTTTTAGACCATGCGCCACGGCGTAAAGCAGATTTTTCCATCCTTGTATAAGCAAAAGTGGATTCTGACACACCCTGAATGCGTTTGCGTCCTGCGCTTTGCACTTTGTGCATGCATCGTCAAAATAGAGCCCAATGTCTAGCCAGCATCTAAGGACATCTATTTTGATTTACAATAACGAGAGTTTAGGTTGTGTTTGCAAATTGTCCAAAATTCAACGTTGAGCCAACATCTTAAACCAACGTCATATTGACATCAAATACTGACATTTATTCGTCAGGTATGGCAACCAAAATCCAACATCTGATATCATCATATCATAGTGATAACATCCACACAACGTCAAGCTGTAACATTATTAGACGTTGATATTTGGTTGATTTTAGGTTGTTTTGGAAAGTGACCAAAATCCATTGTCGAGCCATCATCTTAAACCAACATCACATTGACTTCAAATCCTGACATTTATTCGTCAGGTAAGGCAACCAAAATCTTATATCTGATAGACATCATAGTGGTACTGTCCACACAATGTCAAGCTATAACATCAATAGACGTTGATATTTGGTTGATTTTAGGTTGGCCATTGATTTCAGGCTGACATTGAGTTCTGACGTCAACACGATTTTCATTTTCAAACAAAATGCAACGTCCTCACGACATTGGGATACAATGCCAATCTGGCGTTATATTGACGTCCTATGCCTGCTGAGTGGTGTATGATTTAGTAATTTGACATTGAAAAGTTTTTCTAGAATCTTAAATCTTTCACCAAACTGTCAAAAATTGCTGTAAAATGTACATCATTACTAGCAATTTTTAAAGTATTACTGGCATTTGCAAGTGCAATGTAAATTAACAATTACTCTCAATTTACACGTGCAACCAAAATTTACAATGATACTGCAGAATTTTACAGCAATTGTTTTACAGTGTATGCAAGATTCCTTTTTTTGCTCAATTGCATTTTTATTTTATTCAGTGTATTTAAAAATCAAATGACATGCATGAATTAATTTTGACAAATTATAGATAATAAATTGCTTTAAATTCTATAAACCAATAAATTGAAATCATTTTTGTTGAAATGAAGGTATACAATGTAATAATAAAACAACACAAGCACAAGGGAACATTACTAAAACTTCCCATTTACAGTAACAACTGAAAATATAAATATAAAAACTTACACTAAGGTATGAAACTTACACTGAGGTTAAACCTACAATAATAAAATCTACACTAGACCATTTTAAGGGATGTAAACAATAACACGTATACGTATTTCCTGTTTTACATATTTAATTTCCAAAGCTTCCGGGAATGCAAAAAGGTCCACATATTGATAAATAATGTTATGACATCTGTGAAGGATTGAATTGCCCCTTGTTACAGTTATGAACATGTTAGATGTAAAACAGGCAGAACAAAAAGCTTTTAACTTTTTTCTTTTTCTTTACATTTATGTTCTATAAAATGTGTATGAATAATATTAAAATAAGATACAAATAAATAATAATATTAAGTAAAAGATATAAAAGGAAATAAGGAAAAGCTCTACTCTTCTAAAATAACTGAAGGGTTCATCTTCTTTATGTGATCTAAAACAGATTGCCCAAACATATCAGTTCAACCTCTTATAGTATATCACGTTTTTTCTAAGGTGTAAAAGCTCCATAAGCCATTGCTTAAAGGTTAGATGTTTCCTTCCATTTGAGCAATAGTACCTTCTAGCTAAAAGCGTAGCAAAGCCAATCACATGTATCCTACTTTATTTAAACATAAGGACTGGGGTGTAATAATTTTGAACAAGACCAAAACATATGACAGTTGTGAAAGAGGTGAACAACAAGCAGGAAATAGTCATGGTCCAATGACATCACTGCCCTGAAACCACTCAATGATGCTAAAATAACATTGTCTCAGTGCTCTTTTAGTTCTTTCTTTCTTTCTTGACCTCCAGGATTAGCTTTATCATATATCATGTACTCACAGACACACTTCGGGCTGCGGTCGCTCCACTTGGGCATTCCGGTGTCTCTGCCATGGCAGGATATCTGACTCGGGCCCTCCAGCTGATAGCCCTGGTTACATGTGAAGCGTACCACCGTTCCAACAGCGAAACCAGACTCGGGATGTACAGAGCGAGCTCCATTGACCACTTCTCCTGGGTCAGGACACTGCTGGACTGGAGGGACATTAAAGCCAGGAGAGAAAGAGAGTGTGTGTGCAGTGTTAATCAAATAATCAAACCGGCAAATCTTTACTGCCAAGGACTTTAATGTCACATGACGGTGGAAGGACTTGCCTAAATGCACCCCCTATTTGTATGTTGTATATTCTTCTTTCTTATATATACACCGTTAAAGTCAGAATTATTAGTCCTCCTGTGAACTTTTGATTTTCTTTTTTGAATATTTCCCAAATTATGTTTAACACAGCAATGCATTTTTCACAGTAATTAAGGTCAAGATTATTAGCCCCCTTAAGCAATATTGTTTTTTGCTTGTCTACAGAACAAACTATTGTTATACAGTGATTTGCCTAATTATTCTAACTTGCCTAATTATAGTTAAGCCTAAGATGTGTTTTAACTGAAGCCTGTCAGCTTTAATTTGAGGGTGTTTACATCAAAATCAGGTGAACGCTGTAGGAATTACAACAGTTTGTATATGTGCCTCCCACTTGTTAAGGGACCAAAAGTAATGGGACAAAAATTTATTTTGGTCATCTCAATGTTACTCGTTTTAATCACCTAGACATTTATCCATCAGGGACCATAACATCTACTTAAAACTTCCTAGCAAAACATTCCAAGCAACAAATACCAGTACACACATTTAAATTGACTAAAAACCAAATGAATAAAAGTAAATGATTGGCTTAGAAAATAAAATTCACACCACCTTTTCGTTTACTTTTAACCATTAATCAACACAGCCAGTCATGAGAAGCTAAAAATAACTCACTTTTCACACAGGTGGGCGGGCTGTTACTCCAAGTGAGGTCCCATTGGCAGGTAATGATGTCAGAGCCGACGATATCATAACCCGGCTGACACTGATAGGTCAACACACTTCCTCTGACCAGAGACGGGTGGGAGGAGCTGCTCCAGCCGAACTCAATTTGTGGAAGAGCAGAACACGTGTCATTCGGCTCCACTTCTGCAAGAAATAAAAGGTATTAGCAGGGCTTTTGGGATATTTTTAGAACATTAAATAAATCGGCATAAAAATAACATCTTCATTGTCATGAAATCAACAATAATGCTGAGGTGGCCTAAGAAATTCTCACTGCAGAACCTTTTAGTTTCCATGTCGACACATCAAGCTTCAGTTGTAAACAGTAAACAGTGACAGAGTTCACTTTTAGAAGATATAAAACTGATATAAACATGTAAAGCAGTGTTTCCCAACCCTGTTCCAAGAGGCACACCAACAGAACATATTTTGGATGTCTCCCTTATCTGACACAATCATTTTTGGTTTTGGAGTCTCTTCTAATGTACTGCTGAGTTGATTCAGATGCGTTTGATTAGGGAGAGGTTGAAAATGTGTACTGTTGATGTGCCTTCAGGAACAGGGTTGAGAAACACTGAATGAAAGCTTGTAGTTTGTCACTTCCGCCTAAATGGAGCAATGGTTTTATTCACGTTTTTGAAAAAAGGGGGAGGGGTTACTCTAAATCCCACCCTCTCTTCATGTGTCGATTGAGATTACATCAAACATTGATCGGAAATGGACTTTTAAGAGTGGCTCAAATTAAGAATTTTAATTTGAAATTTTGGAAGTTACATTCTAAATTCCATATGTTCTAAATCATAATATAATGTACAGTGCATCTGGAAAGTATTCATAGCGCTTCACTTTTTCCACATTTTTATGTTACAACCTTATTTCAAAATGGATTAAATTAATTTATTTCCTCAAAATTCTACACACAATAGCTCATAATGACAATGTAAAATAGAGTTTTTGAAATTGTTGCAAATTTATTAAAAATAAAAACCTGAAAAATCACATGTGCAGAAGTATTCACAGCCTTTGCTCAAAACTTTGTTGATGCACCTTTGGCAGCAATTACAGCCTCAAGTCTTTTTGAATATGATGTCACAAGCTTGGCACACCTGTCTTTGGAAATATTCGCCCATTCCTCTTTGCAGTACCTCTCAAGCTCTATTAGGTTATATGGGAAGCGACAATGTACGGTCATTTTCAGATCTCTCCAGAGATATTCAATAGGATTCAGGTCTGGGCTCTGGCTGGGGCACTTAAATGCATGCACCAAGTTGTTGTGAAGCAACTCCATTGATATTTAGATAATATTTAGATAATAATAACATAATGCTCTCGTGCTGCAGGAATGAGGAGGTCTGCTGAAGGCGCGCAGCTGTCGTGCAGTGAGGAGTTTGCGTCTTTAATAAACTACAGCAGTTTGCGTTCACTGAACAGTAAGAATGATTAATAAATCCATATGAAACAGTCCCTTAAAGTCACGTCTCTCTTTCAGAGCCCAAAGCCCAAGTGAACCGCGCTCAGGCCCACCTCTTCCAACCAGGCCAGGGCCGGCCAAGTGAACCGTGCTTGAGCCCGATTCAGCGCACTCACACTTCTCAAACGATCCGGAATAGCATAGTGTGAGTAGGCCCTAAGACCCCACTCCCCCAATCACTCAGCTTAGATGGCTGGCCAGCTTTAGGAAGAGTCCTGGTGGTTTCAAACAACTTCCACTTACGAATGATGGAGGCCACTGTGCTCATTGGAACCTTCAGAACAACACAGCCTTGTGCCTTGAGACATTCCTGTCTCGGAGGTCTACAGACAATTCCTTTGTCTTCATGCTTGGTTTGTGCTTTGACACTGTGAACACTTCTGTACATGTGATTTTTCAGGTTTTTTATTTTTAATAAATTTGCAACAATTTCAAAAACTTGTTTTTTATATTGTCATTATGGGGTATTGTGTGCAGAATTGTGTGGAAATAAATGAATTTAATCCATTTTGGAATAAGGCTGTAACATTAAAAATTTGGAAAAAGTGAAGCGCTATGAAAACTTTCCGGATTCACTGTACATGTGATGGTACTCCTAGGGGAACAGATATAACAACCACACATGTGGGACAGTACTGTTACAAGGATTTACACTTTTTAAAAAACACACAAAAATAAAAAAAGACATTGACCATCGATCATAAACAGTATATAAATATTAGCTTATCAGATGTATGCGAAATTTCCCAGTACTGGGTTGCGGCTGAAAGGGCATGCACTAGACAAAACATATGCCAAAATATTTGGCCGTTTATTCCGCTATGGTGACTCCTGATAAATAAGGGTCTAAGCCGAAGGAAAATGATTGAATGAATGAATATATGCGAAAATCCATTACTGTGCATCACTGGAATTAAAGGGACAGTTCACACAAAAATATCTTTCTTCTATTGAACGCAAAAGATGATATTCTGAAGTAGTATGTTAAAAACCATTAGCTATCAACATCCACAATAGGAACGAGAAATACTATGAAAGTCAGTTTATTCACCTCTGTAGTGGATGAGAAAGCCTTGGCTCAGTATAAACGTGGAGTCATCGGGATCGCTCTGAAACTGAATGGTGACCTCCGAACCTCCCGATACAACCCTGAACCTTTCTCTCGAGCCCATGTACTGACCAATCACGTGCGACATCAGATCATGGCCATCAAACAGAGTGAGAACGTCATTGTGGCGTATGTTCAAACTGCAAGTAAGCAAAATATAAGTGAATAAAACATTGAGTTAAATTCTGCATGAACCTAAAGCTGCAACCGTTGTTTTTTATTTTGTATTTTGGCGCAGTTCCTAGAGAAACTAAATATTAAATGAGAAAACAGTGGGCGTGGCTTGATTTTTTCTACTGCGAGCTGATTGGATGTAGTAAAGTAGGCATTTCATTTAGAAAGTAGGAAAAGGATTTGGTGAGTTATTACAACCTTACAGACACCTACTCCTCACCGTTTCTGTTTGTTGTCAAAACAGACAGCTGAAGAGGCGTGGTTAAGTATGTTAGCCACGCCCAATACCTCAGACTGACATAATCTGAGAATTTAACTCAAAACAAACAGGATATGCCAGTGGTTCTTAAACTGTGGTACGTGTACCATTAGTGGTATGCAGGCTTTTTTCTAGTGGTGCACGGAGGAATTAAATATGTCATGTACATGCTACACCCATTTCAAAATTTATCAAAAAATATTTATATAATATGTCATATATGACATATAGCCTATATTTCTGATGTAATCTGCCATGTTTTTTAACTGTGCAGAGTTGTAGCTGCTTTACTGGGCCTACTGCGCTACTGTATTTCAATACTGCTCATTTTGGTGGTACTTAGAGAGACAATTGTTTTCTGAGGTGGTACTTGATGAAAAACGTTTGAGAACCACTGGGATATGCATTTTCAGATTACAAGGGCAAACTATTTTTTTCTTGATGACACACATAGATGAAATGTTGACCACAAAACTAGCAATGTGAGCTAACAAAATCAATATGGTTGGCTTTGATTTCATGTGTACTTAAAGCACAAAATGGGATCATTAAATAGACAGACTTACATTTGCACATCCAGCTCGATGCGCTTGTCCTCGCTGACGTGTATTTGCCACACACAGTCCTGCCCTTTAGAGTAGCTCTGTGGCCAGTCGGGAGACAACACTGTTCCCACTGGATCTGTGAGCTCACCGCCACACAGAGCTGACAATAGGGAAAAGAGGAGAAATTATGGAACTAATTAGAATGGCATTTTTATTATTAAACCAATGGCCTGTTGCCTAAAACATAAAGATGATGAATGATGGTCTTGGATAGACATGAGGGTGATAAATAATAACATATGTTTCATTTTTGAGAACGAGCAAGGAATTTATCACAGTATTTTCTATAATATTTTTTCTTATTATTTATTTTATTTCAGCTAAAATAAAAGACATTTTCATTTTCTTTAAAACCATTTTAGATCAATATTATTAGCCCCCTTAAGCAATATTTGTTTTCGATTGTCTACAGACCAAACCATGGTTCTAAAATGACTTGCCAAATTAACCTAACTTGCCTAATTAACCTAGTTAAGCCTTTAAAAAGTCAGTTTAAGCTGAATACTAGCATTTTGAAAAATATCTTGTCAAAAATCATTTACTGTCATCATGGCAGAGATAAAGAAATCAATTATTAAAAAGGAGTTATTAAAACTATTATGCTTGGAAATGTGTTGAAAAAAAGTCATTTCTGCTAAACAAAATTAGGAAACAAAAATTTACAGGGGGGCTAATAATTCTGACTTCATATACTGTATATATGAGAAAACCAAAGTATCACAATGTCAGTTTCATTCCAACATCTGGCAGCCCGAGTAAGAACAGGTTCCTGACACAAAAGCACTGCAATAAACTACAGTAAGGCAGGTTAATTTGTTTACACACTGACCAATGTATGGCCCTTTTATTAGTGCCTTAAAGGGGTTGTCCAGAGTGTATTTTTAAGGCTTGGTTGTGTTTATAAGATGCAAAACAATGTATGTTCATGCTTCATTTGTAGAAAATCACATTCTTTTTTCATATATCTTGCTTTGATTATATACAGCTGTTCCACCGAAAGGTCCGTCCTTAAGAGGCTCTGATTGGTCAGCTAACATAATGTGCTGTGATTCGTGGATCGGCTCCACGTCACCAAGAAAAGTGTCATGCCTCTACAAGCACATGCTTTTGCGCTGTGTAAACAGTTAGTCAGAGTAGCTGTTAGCCGTATCAGTTTGTGTCGGAATCAGACAGAAAATGACACCGAGCACACAGCTGAACCTCACACCTGCTCTCTAAAATAAAATCTAACAAGTGTCTTTCACTTATATCTAGAATAAGCATGTATAAGTAATATGAAACGTTCACATATCTTTTGCAAGTTTGTTATTTGAGATGTAAAATGCATGGAAAGCGGTCGCATAGAGAGACACTGCAGCGCTACTGAAGATTGTGGGTGTTTACATCAGTTTGACTGATAAATATGAATTTCTAGCTAAATTGTTAGCTGTGCCAAACAGCATTTCCCATTGTTTACATCCTTGATTACGTCCTTGCTACAACATACCGTTAACGCTAGAAACTGAGCATGTAATAAACCAATTTGAACAAATAAAAACATTTACAAGTTGTGGCTCACAATACACAGCTTCGTCTTTTATGTTTGGAGCTGCTGCTTTGAGGAATTTTTAGCCGAATCCAGCACTGAACTGGGAGAGATTCTGGAAGCTCTCCTTTGTCAAATGCTAGAGCTAGATATTTTTTATAATTTTGTGGAACATGATTAAAATTAAACTGTAAGCACTTCTCTCTTTGTGACGTGTCCTTTGGAAGCCCAAATACAGAAACACGACTCTGTGGATATAGCAGTGTTTGGACGGCATTTTAGGTTTCTCTGCTACATTACATTATTACAGTGCCTCTGGCCACACCACTTTGCTGCGCAGGGTGTATGCTTGGGGTGTGTGCACATAACCTGAAGTCTCACTAGCCCGGATGCATTTTTTGTAGTCCCGTTACATTCCATGGTGTTTGAATGTATTATTGTGTTTGGTTTCCGTTTCCCCCAACCCTTCTTAAAAGCCTGCCAGTTGCAAGCCACATTGAAGCTTGCTTCTAGAGTGTGGTCTCTCTCCTGCCTGGTTGCTTTGTTGAGAAAGATTTTGGTTGCGGTTGTGTTTAACTTGTTGAAGTTAAAATCTGTCATAAAAACTTCTGAAACCACTTGAACTCTGCTTTTGAAAATGTACTTTGTGTTACATAGGGAGGTGAGTGCCATTTTATTTCTAATACCCTTTTTTTCTTGTTTATGTTTAGTTAGGGAGTTAGTGTATATTATTGTTGTTGATTTAATTTTACTTTGTCAGTTTAGACACTTTTACTCGTTAACTAGCTAGAGTGTACTTTTGTTTCTTGTTTTGGACTTTCCCCTCCTGAAGTTTCCCCTCCTGTTAATAAATTCTTTAACTTGAATTTGGTGTGTTGTCGTGAAGGCAGGGGGCTGATCCACACTCACCCCAACCAACATTAAAACTGTTCACTGCTTCTCCCACTCCGAGACATTTAACATCAGGGATGTAACACCCCAAACTTTGTTCATTGTAGGTGTAAGGAGGCTAAAGACCATGGCCTCTAGCGTCTGTCGCTAGAGCACCCTTTAGAGGTCAGAGGAGTGAGGTTTTACCTGCACAGCACACACTAGCTGGCCTACATTACACTCACCCACCTAAACCTCACTCCCATCCGGGTCACGGCACCAATGTAACCCCGCCGGTCCTACACCATCCAACCCGCTCCGAGCTGGTTTCAAACCAGCGACCTTCCGCATGGGAGTCGGGCGCTCTACCAAGGAGGCTAAAGACCATGGCATCTAGCGTCTGTCGCTAGAGCACACTTTAGAGGTCAGAGGAGTGAGGTTTTACCTGCACAGCACACACTAGCTAGCCTCCGTTACATAGGCTTTGCTAAGCTAACTCTGTAGAAGCCAATGTCTCCCTTTGCATTGAACTTTGAGTGTATTAAATTCAGAGATATTGTTTATGTTCGCACAGCTACATTACACATCAACTACAATTAAAATATGATATCATAGAAGACCACCCCTTTAAACGAAAAGGTAATGCATAGATGTAAATGTGAGGATGTGATGTCATACCTCTGCAGACCGGTTCAGTTTCGTTCCAGTGAGGGTCATTGGGATCCAAACACTCCATAACTCCTGAGCCCTGCTCCATCACAAATCCAGCAGCACATGAAAACGATACCACAGTTCCCAGTGGGAAGGTGATGTCACTGCTGCTGAAGTTCCCATGAGGCAGGTAAGGTTCATAACAGTGTTCACCATCAAAGGCTGAAAGAAAGAAGTTGTAATGTAATAATAAACTTTAAATGTCATTTAAAATAACAATAATGCTTATTTAGATGTTAGTATCAGAATGTTAGTCTTAAGGATATCTAAAAGTAAATGTGCTAAAAACAGGGACAACATTTGCATTTAGAAGATAGCAACATCCAAAGCTTGCAGTTTATTATTACTTCTGCCTCAATGGATCAATGATTTTTTTGTCAATGTCACCTCATACTTCAGTTTGTCATCAAATCTGCCAACCAATCAATTGCTCTTTAGTACTTTACATGCCCCGCCCCTTTCAAGACGCTTCTCATTTGCTTTTCATTTGATGTGCTTGAGCTCAACCACTCTCACTCACAGAGCTGTAGTAATGTAAAAACTAAATGCTATTGGCTGTTTTTTGTTTTTATAAAGGGGAGGATCCAATCGATGTCCCCTCATGTTTCAGTTGAGATTATGTCAAACATTGAATACAAAATGCACATATCAAAGCACTTTATGGGACCTTTAAACTGATAATTCACCCAAAAATTAAAATGTAAACTTCTGTCCTCTGTGGTTGACATTAGCTGAATGACCAAGTGTTCAATATCTTTCATAACATAATAGTTGAGATCATAAACCAAATTTGGGGAAAATTTGCATATTAATGTGATGTTTCCTGACATTGACATTGTATAACTTATAAATAAAATACCATTTTTCTTTTTATGCTCTAACAAGGGGTGGTACTGTGGCTCAGTGTTTAGCACTGTCATCTCACAGAATGGTCATTGGTTGAAGTCCCGGCTGGGCCAGTTGACATTTCTGCATGTCCTCCACGTGATGGCGTGGGTTTCCTTCGTTTACTCCGGTTGCACCATAGGTGAATTGGATTAACTAAATTGGCAGTAGTGTATGAGTGTGTGTGTGTGTGAATGTCAGTGTGTGTGAGTGTTTCCCAATACTGGGTTGCAGCTGGAAGGGCATTCCGCTGTGGCGACCCCTGATAAATAAAGTACTAAGCCGTGAACGAATGCTCTAACAATGTAATGATTTGACAAAATTACTAAATTCGGTCTCATGAGGATATGGAGAAAATTAAAGCAACGCTTTCCTCAAAAACCTTTTATTTTACTTGCTGAAAATGTCAACTCTGGAAGCGAACAAATTAGTTAATGCTGAATTAATTTTCAGCCCTGATTTTCACTCGCTGGCTGTTTTTACAAAATTGCAAACAAATGCCAAAATCAAACGCAAATCAGTGTTTGTGACAATCGTGCAGTGTGAATTATCAAAGATGCCCATTAAAAATTAACAGATCATGAAAAATATTATAGGAAATACTGTGAAAAATTCCTTGCTCAGTTATACACCATTTGAGAAACATTTGAAAAATAAAAAAAAATAAAATAAATCACAGGAGGGCGAGCAATTCTGGCTTCAACAGTATATTTTGTTGTAATGTGTAAGAGGACTCCTCACCTTCATAGCGGAGTGCCAGCAGCAGTGGGATGGAGGAGGAATCTGCCGTGAGCTCCACAAAGAGAGACGATCCTTCACTCACAAAGCCCCGTTCCGGAACATCATCCAGATCCGAGTCGAAGAGGAGCGGTGCTGTCGTGCTATTCCCACTGCGTACAATCAGCCTTGGAAAGGGAGGAGCGAGAGAAAATGTGACAGGAAGGAAAAAGGTGAAAAATTGATTTTGCAAGGATCTCATGGATGCTTATGTCTGTGTAGCTTGTACATTTGTTAAAAAAACTGAATATTTCATGGCAACTGAATGAGCAAATACAATAATCAAACCACAATACATTAAAAACACCAAATAGTTCAGGTAAAGCAGGTACCGGAACTCATTTATTTTTCTGTTTAAAAACAAATGCACAGATAATAGGCTTTATTTATACCATTTTATATTGTTTTCTAAGGGGAAAAATCACACTTATGTGCTTCGTTTGTTCATCCACTAACAAATAATTAAAACTGTGCTCATCTGAGAAGACATACAGAAGAGTGTGGGATCGTGAACTCTTACTTATCATTGTCTTCATCAAGAGCCACCCTTTCAAAGTGGAGGTGGAGCCTATGGCCTTCCTTGGCTTCCAGCAGCCAATGGCAGCTCAGGTTGCTTCCGCTGCTATGGTTACTTGCAGAGGGGAGGGTTGGAGAAAGGATGCGACCAACTGTAGCATTCCTGATCCATCCTCCACACGACACCGCTTTAACAGACAAAAACACACATGAATGCTTATTAAAAAATCAATTCTGCATTTATAATTTTATTATAAAAGTATATATATATATATATATATATATATATATATATATATATATATATATATATATATATATATATATATATATATATATATATATATTTATATATATAAATTATAATTATAGTAAGAATTTTATACAGTATTCATAATAAAACATTTCAAAATGCATCGCTTTTGTCAGTCGATTCTGAGCTTAGTTTATAGCAGCAGATGGCGCTCTATGTTTTACAAACAACCAAAATCTGCTTGCATCATTAATAAAGTTAGGAAAGGTGTAAGCGAATTACAAGAAAGTTCATAGTGAGCTCTGCTTACATTAATCTCATGAGATAAAAGCCAATGATCAAATTAATAAGCACTCTTTCTCTTGAGCATTTGAGCGTACAGCAAAAAACTAGCACGTCATCTGCTGTTAAACAACAGCCTAGAGCATCATCTGCTGTTTAAAACTAGACTACAGTGCCATCTGCTGTTAAAAACTAGCTTAAAGCGCCATCTGCTGTAAAACTAGCCTAGAACACCATCTGCTGTAAAACTAGCCTAGAACACCATCTGCTGTAAAACTAGCATAGAGCATCATCTGCTGTAAAACTAGCATAGAGCATCATCTGTTGTAAAACTAGCATAGAGCATCATCTGTTGTAAAACTAGCCTAGAGCGCTGTCTGCTGTTAAAAACTAACAAGAGTGCCAAAAACTAGCCTAGAGCACTGTCTGCTCTAAAAAATTCCATAGGACATCATCTGCTGTGAAAACTAGCCTAGAGTGTCATCTGCTATTAAAAAATAGTCTAGAGCACTGTCTGCTGTTAAAAACTAGCCTCACCAACATCTTCTGTTAAAAACTAGCCTAGAGCACCATCTGCTGTTAAAAACAAGTCTAGATTGCTGTCTGCTGTTAAAACTAGCCTAGAGAGCTACCTGGTGTTAAAAACTAGCCAAAAGTGTCATCTTCTGTTAAAAGCTAGCCTAACGTGCCATCTGCTTTTAAAAATAGCCAGGAGCGTCATCTTCTGCTAAAAAATTAGCCTAACGTGCCATCTGCTCGTAAAAATAGCCTAGAGCGTCATCTTCTGTTAAAAACTAGCCTAACGCACCATCTGCAGTTAAAAATAGCCTACAGCACCACCTGCTGTTAAAAGCTAGTTTAGAGCACTGTCTGCAGTTAAAAACTGCCCTAGAGTCCCATTATCTGCAGTTAAAAACTAACCTTGTGCACCATCTGCTGTTAAAAAATAGCCTAGAGCACTATTCGCTTTTAAAAACTAACCTAAAGTGTCATCTACTTTTAAGAACTATCCTAGAGCGCCATCTGCAGTTAAAAACTAGCCTAGAGCTTTGTTTGCTGTTAAAACTATCCTAGAGCGCCGTCTGCTGTTAAAAACTGCCCTAGAGCATCATCTGCTGTTAAAACCAGCCAAGAGTGCCATCTACTGTTAAAACTAGCCTAGAGCATCATTTGCTGTTAAAACTAGCCTAGAGTGCCATCTGCTGGTAAAAACTGCCCTAGATCATCATCTGCTGTTAAAAACTAGCCTAGAGCATCATTTGCTGTTAAAAACTAGCCTAGAGCACCATCTGCTGTTAAAAACTAGCCTAGAGCTTTGTTTGCTGTTAAAACTATCCTAGAGCGCCATCTGCTGTTAAAAACTGCCCTAGAGCATCATCTGCTGTTAAAACCAGCCAAGAGTGCCATCTACTGTTAAAACTAGCCTAGAGCATCATTTGCTGTTAAAACTAGCCTAGAGTGCCATCTGCTGGTAAAAACTGCCCTAGATCATCATCTGCTGTTAAAAACTAGCCTAGAGCACCATTTGCTGTTAAAAACTAGCCTAGAGCACCATCTGCTGTTAAAAACTAGCCTAGAGCGCCATCTGCTGTTAAAAACTAGCCTAGAGCATCATCTGCTGTAAAAAACTAGCCTAGAGTACCGTCTGCTGTTAAAATCGAGTCTGAAGCCTGTCAGGTGTTAAAAATTATCCTAGAGTGCCATCTCCTAATAAAAATAGTCTAGAGCACCATCTGCTGTTAAAAAAGTAAACTAGAGCACCATTTGCTGTTAAGAACTAGCCAAAAGGATCATCTGCTGTTAAAAACTATACTCAGTATTGACTCAAGAGAGAAAATCGATGCATTTTGAAAATCTCTGAAAATTTGTTTTATCACAGCTCTAACGGTTGTACACATGGCAACGAGCAGAGGTGTATTTGAGCAAATGAAAGACATTCAAATAACAAAAATCAATGCAACCCACCAACACACTGGGGCTCTGGAGTGCTCCATTTGGGTCGGGTAGAGTTTAAACAGGTTGCAACCTCATGACCTCTGACCTCAAACCCTGGATCACAATGAAAGTGAGCCTGACCGCCAGGATGTATATCAGTTACAGTCACTCCGCCGCCCTCAGGGGAGAGAGGGAACGAACAGGACAGGAGGAAGGCTGGAATTGGTGTTCAAAAGAAAAAGACATTTCGGTTACAGCTGGCAAATCAAAAAAGACATGTTACAATCATGTATATGTAGACCCTAAACATACTTTGTACCCAAGTAACATACCTTGATAGTGAAAGCTGAAAACGCCATGATTGTTTTGCTTCAGGCTCTTATAATGGATCTGCACTTGATTGGTTGTGCTACGAATCACCTGACCTTCGCTCATCAGCGTCTCATTGGCCAAAACCTCAAGTGCTGCACCACCCAGATCCGAAATGGTGAGGGACTCCTCTTTGGACAAGTTTACTTTCTTCACCTTCAAGACAGATGGGTGATGTTACCATAACAACAGCTAATGATGTCGTTACGCAAGAGTGTATCAAGAGCAAAGATTCCTGAACTCTTTAGAGTGACATCACCCATGCAAATGCCAACCAGATACACCAGCTATACCTATACAGAGGCTAGAGCTGTAAACTGGAAATAGGGAGGCAATCCCACCTGTATCTCAACGCCATATCCAGGATAGACGGTGATGCTGTAGGTGCACTCCAGTGGGGAAAAGGCAGACGAGGATGAGAGCGGATCAGGAGACTCGATTATTCCCTCCATTCCTGACAGACTGGCATTGCACTGAACTGAAGAAACAGTTTGTTGAATGTTATGACATCTTAGAAATCATTTTAATGGCCTGACACAACCCCAGTTATGAGAAAGTTGGGACATTTTGTAAAACACAATGCAATCTAAAATCTGTGATTGGTTAATTTCCTTTTATTTAATTAACAAATGTGCAATAATAATAATAATTCCTTACATTTATAATGTGCTTTCAGGACATTCAAAGCTCTTAAAACATTTTTTGGGGGGAATCTCCTCATCCACCACCAGTGTGCTGCATCCACTGAATGACACGATGGCAGCCATATTGCGTCAGACCACACACCACACACCAGCTGATTGGTGGAGAGGAGACAGGGTGACGGAGGCAATTAATATATGGGGATGGTTAAAAGGTCATGATGAATAGAGGCCAGTGGGCAGCTGGGATTTTTAACAACCACAGAGACAGAGTCAGGATGTCGGTTTAACCCACTGAGCAGTATAGAGTCCCTATCAATATACTGGGGCATTAGGACCCACACAGACTGCAGGTTGAGTGCCCCCTGCTGGTCTCACTAACACCACTTCCAGCAGCAACTTAGACCCATGTGGTCTCCCATCCAGGTACTCACTGGGTGCAACCGTGCTTAGCTTCAGTGGTTGACCATGTAAGATTTGCAGAGAGCTAGCTGCCGACAAAACAATACCAATGAATACATTACCAGTGTTTTCAATTATTCCTGATTTAATTTTTTTCAGTCATTCATTATTTTACCTTAGGCTTAGTCTGTGATCCACCAGAGGTCGCCACAGTGGAATAAACCACCAAACTTTTTCATTATCATTATAAAATTATATTTATAAAATTAAATTATATTTTATTTACATTCTAAAATATCAAATTTTCATTATTATTTATGTATGAAATTGTATATATTATGTGGGAAATTGTATACATTTATTTTGCTACATTTTTTATTCAATAAATTGTGTTTCATAAAAAATTATGTGTGTGTGTTGGCTGGATTTACTAGAACAGGGGTGCCCGAACTCGGTCCTGGAGGGCAGGTGTCCTGCAGATCGTAGCTCCAACTTGCTTCAACACACCTGCCAGGAAGCTTCTAGTACATCTAGTAAGAACTTGATTAGCTGGTTCAGGTGTGTTTGATTAGGGTTGGAGCTAAACTCTCAAGGGCTGTTTCTCAATATGCGTTCTTCAGTGGTCTTGCGTCCTCGTGTTCTCGTGAAACGTCATCATCAGCTGCCTAAGTTCAGTTCCAATACTCAAGACCGCAAGTACGGAGGACGCGCGAAACTTCCCGGATGTGTTCTTGATATCAAGGACGCACAGATGCAGATTTGAGCACCGAACTCGCTCTGGAAGTCCCAGAAGTCATTGCGACTGGAGGTGGGAAGCGCTGCATTTTATCAAGATTTATTATTAAAGTTCATAGATATGAATTATATACCTCAGGAGTTTCCCTAAATGAAACGGTGAAAGTAAACATTACCATGGACATCTTAATAAAGGAATAAACACATTAAGGGTGTTTGTTTGCTGAAATTCGTATTAAAATCTGTTTTATTTATATTGTGCAACATATATTTATAATGTTTTTATGCAAAGTATATATTTTTAAAAGGGAAAAAACAATAAATCGTTGTATGAAGGCTGTAATGTTTAAATAATTTACCATTTAAAACACGTGAAGGTCATGTGACCATCAGGAAGAACGCAGCATCTCATTTCTCAAAGGACGCGTTCTCTGCCCTCGCGGTCTCCTGAGTTCGTTCTTCCGAGGACACCTGGCAAGACCAGTCTCCACAAGAACACAAGTCCGTTCTCTGCGTTCTTGGAATTGAGAAACAGCCAAGGACACCGGCCCTATAGGATCGAGATGTACTAAAAGCTTATTGGCAGGTGCGTTGAAGCAAGTTGGAGCTAAAATTTGCAGGACACTGGTCCTCCAGGACCAAGTTTGGACACCCTTGTCAAAGAGCATTTAAGAAATATATTAATCCACTTATTCTGTGATCATTAGCCAAATTATATACAAGTTAAAACTAATATTATGTAAATAAGGTTTTTATTGACATTTTCATACAATAAAATACCCCCCTAAAATAATAAGTTAATTATCAAATTTTTTAATAAACTGATCTTTCCTTTGCATTTTTGTCATTTGAAGCACACCAATAATGAAAATCGTCTTTTGTAAGCTGTTTGGACAGAACTGTCTGTATGTAAAGTCTGTCCACTGTCGTATTGGAGTGATATAAACCCATAAAGTCTGATTTTAAAGTAGTATCCAAATCCCAGTGATTTTAAGGCTCACCGCAACGTGACGTAGGAGTGCGGTTTTCCCTGCTTAACCAACTGAATGACAGGCGCCATGTTTCTATAATAACATATATAAACATGTCCACAAAACATTTTATTTTTATTTTTTGCAAATAAACTGGGAATAACATTTTTGTTACAACTCTCTGTGACTTTTATAAGTTTTATAAGTTTAAAACATTTTTAAAACAGAGCCCGTTTGTTATAAAGACAGTAAAATCGATATGTAATTCTTAACCGCTATAATCAGCACGGCCGCATGGTGTCATTAAATGCGTATGTGTGTGTACTGCAAATGGCATTTGTGTGAGACTCATCATTTCAGAAAGGCTTGAATAAACTCACAAACCACAAATACATCAAATAAACTTACTTGGTATTTTTGACTAATGACCTTATTTCAGCTTCATCAGTGTCTGTCTCTATCGCTGACTGCTGTTTATCTGACGTAACGCATGAGAAGCAGGCACGCACTTCGGAGCGGTGGGCGTGGACACGCAGCTCATTTGTATCTAAAGCCACAGGCTACAATGTAGTCAGACACCACAATGGGAAGATCCTGGAGGTATCCAAGTAATCTGATGGGTATTATGAGCTGAAACTTTACAGACATATTCTGAAGACACTAAAGGCTTATCCTACTTCTTGTAAAAGGGGTAAAATAGGTGCCCTTTAAACAAAGATAATTAACCAATCACATATTGTTCATTTTATAGCGCTCTTCAAACTTTTTTAGAATTGGGGTTGTAATTATTATTATAGTATGTGGTTTTGCTGGTGATATTACCTGGTGTGTGCACTGTTGTTATAGTTGTTGTAGTGATTAGAGTGGTTGTGGTCTCTTCTTCAGCTGGCAGTGATGTCACGGCTCCCCCAAAGCCTAATTGGCCTGCTTGAGGCACAGCCGATGATGTCACTGCAGTGGTGAGTATTCCTGGTGACATCACTGTGGAGGCAGGCTCTGATTCTTTAATAGACGGGACGGCCTGGGTCGGGTTAGTAGTTGTACCTGCGAGTTACAATCCCAGATTTAGATTATGCTAACTAATGGTGGAATAGAAGTGATTTATTATTGAAGTTGTGTAATCTGCTGTCTTTCAGGGCTGCATGACTTTGTGATTAATAAATTGAACATACTGTAATTGAATTTACAGTTGAAGTTCACATTAAATTAACTTCTTTTCGATTTTTTTCCCAATTTTTGTTTAACGGTAACAATATTTTTTTAACACATTTCTAAACATAATAGCTTTAATAACTCATTTCTAATAACTGATTTATTTTATCTTTGCCATGCTGACAGTATATAATATTTGACTAGATATTTTTCAAGACACTTCTATACAGCTTAAAGTGACATTTAAAGGCTTAACTAGGTTAATTAGGCAAGTTGGAGTAAATAGGCAAGTCATTGTATAACGATGGTTTGTTCAGTAGACTATCAAAAACGAAAACAGCTTAAAAACCTCCTGGCTATTCATTTTGACTTTAAAATGGTTTTTAATTTAAAAAAATTAACTGCTTTTAGCTGCAATAAAACAAATAAGACTTTCTCTAGAAGTAAAAATATTATCAGAAATATTGCAAAAAATTCCTAAAAGTAAATTTGAAAAGCATAACTATTTCAAAAGAGGGTTCATAATATTGGTCCCAACTGTATACTTTTACTTGTAAATATAAACGTATATATGTTTGTACTTGTTTTGAAACGCAGTGACATTTCCACACTTAATTTAAAACTCCATGCAAAACAGAACTGCAGCTTTTTAAAAGTTTTTCCAAATCATTCAGCTTCGAAAAAGATTTAGCACTTGCAAAAAGTCTTTAGAGCAAACATATTGTCTTTTCATTTCTATGCACACATACTCAAATCAATCACCTTAAACTTTCTTGATGATTTGGTAAACCCTTGAATAATTCATTAATTACTGTTAATTAATGTATTTACTAGCATTGCCTAAGTATAAATAATCTTATAAAGCATTTATTAATCACAGTTCACCATTTATTAATGCTTTATGAGATGTGCCTGATAACATTAATTAATGCAGAGCGAATTAACATTAACTAATGCTATTCAACTTAAATAATGCTAACATTATCAAAGATGACAAAATAGCAAAATAAGTGCATTACTAATAGTTTTTTTTCATGTTAGTTACAATTTACTACACCGTAAAACCCAAAAAGTTGAGGTAACTTAAACCATTTAAGGAAATCGATTGCAACAAACCATTTAAGTTCAAAAACTTATCCTAATGAGTACTGTGAGCTTAATCCATTTGAGTAAATGAAGCAATTTGAGCACAGTAAAATGAAGAGCACTCAAACCAACTGAGTACAGTAAAACACAATGAGTTAAGTCAACTCAAACTGTTTGAGGAAACCGATTGCTACAAACAATTTGAGTTAAAAAATGAATCTATATGAGCACTGTTAACTTATTCCATGTAAGTTGTTAAGTAATGAGGTATTTAATTAACTCATTACCTTCAACACTGAGTTCAAAACTCTTTTTAAATGAGTAGAATTAACTTGCAGTAAATTTTGAGTTAACTACACTCATTTGAAATGATAAAGTTGACTATAGGGTTTTACAGTGTATTTTAAGGTGTAGCCTAAGATTTATTCTTTCCAAGTTCCTGTATTTTATTAGTGGACAAACTAAATATTGCATGTCATCTTTTTTTTGCAGTCCTGCTGTGTTGTCTTTCGGAAGAACTGACCTCTGCTGCCAGGAGTGTGTCCCAGGTACTCCTTGCTCAGAAGTGCAGCATGGATGAGATCTCCCAGGGGGCGGGGACTAGAAGTCACGGTGGGAGGAGCTTCAGGATCTGATGTCCCTAAAGATGCACCTGAAAAAAAAAACACACTTTGTCTGTAAAACTCACACTATAATGAAAGCAAGCACACAACTCATTACATAAAATTAATTAGAGTGCATGTTCTGTCTGCTAATTTAATATTCATTCATTTTCCTTCAGCTTAGTTTCTTATTTCTTTATTCGTTATTCGTCAGGGGTCGCCACAGCAAACCTAAAACTATTCCGGCATATGCTTTACGCAGCGGGTACCCTTCCAGCTGCAACCCAGTACAAGGAAAACTAATTTAATAATCAACATAAAATATGTGCACTTATCACTTTGCATAAAGAATTAAACATACAAAAGCAGACTCACACAAGTATAAGTATGTTACCTGAGGCCAGGTGCAGCAGTGTGACAGACAGTGTCACAGCAAAAACTGTGGACACCATGGTTCAATATGACAGAACAGCCTGGACACAAGCAAAAGAAGAGAAAATAAGTACAGTAGTAAAAGGAAAATTAGATTTGAAGTTGTCTGAACTCCTAAAATTTTGTATAAACATTTAAAAATACAGATTTTGATTCTTGTCTATCAGAATTTACCAAGATGCAGTGATGATTTATATTGTAAGAAAAACTTCTGTTGCAAATAAATGTTGCTTTTTAAACATTATACTCTTCAGAAACTTCTGAATTTTTTTATTTTTAAAGATCTCACAATAATATTAAGCAGTAAAACGGCTTTAAACATTTATAATTACCAATGTTTATTGAGTACCTAATCAGAATATTAGAATGACTTCCTAAAGATGATTGACAAATATCTAAAATATAAATCTAATAATACAATTATAGTCTAATATTGTCAGCATAATTGAGTACACCCCATTTTAAAAATTGTAATTAATTACTCAGTGAATACAGGCAATGTATTTTAGTGCATTTAAACAAAACAGGTTTATTAAACAGATATATTTATTAAAATAATATTTTAGTCACCAAACATATTTAGAAATTGAAAGACAATACGATTAAATTCAAGCAAAATATTGCAAAAATAAATCACAACCTACAAAATTTCAACTAAAATTTTCAAATTTTTTGCTTTACTTGATTTTTCCTCCTTAAAAAATGTGTATTTTTATATTTTTCTATAACATAAATTTGGCTGTATTACTTTCTGGACCTTTATCGTAAGTTATTTTGTTATATAAGCTCCAGATTTGGCTTCAGTACTGACTAATCTAATGTATATGCACAAATATAATATTGTATAGCTTCCTATTAAAAATATGAATTTAAAAGATGTGTACTTATAAATGCTGAGCACTGTATATACGCACTAATTTACACATTTGAATTTATATATAAAATTCTGAACTTTGAATATTAAGTCATCACATACTAGCAATGACTGTTCCATTAAATTCATTAACATAATCTTAAACAATCATAAATCAAGGTAAATTTCTTATTTCAATTTAGCCCTCGAGACAGCCTCATTGTAAAAGTGTGACTTATAGGCCTTATTTTAATGGTCATTTTACTTTATTACAAATGAATTCAGAATTATTAGCACCCCTTTGATTTTTTTTCTTTTTTAAATATTTTCCAAATAATGTTTAGCAGAGCAAGTAAATTTTCACAGTGTGTCTGACAATATTTTTCTTCTGGAAAAAGTCTTATTTGTTTATTTCGGCTAGAATAAAAACAGTTTAAAATTTTTTTTAAACCATTTTAAGGTCAAAATTATTAGCCCCTTTAAGCTTTTTTTTTTCTCGATCAAACCCTTGTTATACAATAACTTGCCTAATTACCCTAACCTGCCTAGTTAACCTATAAGCCTTTAAATTCCACTTTAAGCTGTATAGAAGTGTCTTGAAAAATATCTAGTCTAATATTATTTACTGTCATTATAGCAAAGATAAAATAAATCAGTTATTAGAAATGAGTTATTAAAACTATTATGTTTAGAAATGTGTTGAAAACATCTCTCCGTTAAACAGAAATTGTGGATAAAAAAAACAGGGGGGCAAATAATTCAGGGGGTTTAATAATTCTGACTTCAACTACATTTACACAAAAGCATTTATCTACTTATGTACTGCTCTAAAAATATTAATTTGTATTAACGATGCTTTATTTTGTTTTATAAATCCTTATCACATAAATAATGAAATAAAAAAAGCAACAATTGTCACATGGTTTAGTGGTTACTGTTTGAATTCAATCATACATTTATACTGCCCACCTAAAAATCTTTGTGTAGCAAAAAGTGCAGGAACATTAAATCAATTAATTTAATGAGGGCTTTAAAGCTAAAATGCTAGATAAATTAGTTAAACTGGATTTTTTGGGATGCAGCATGAAGTAATTAATGATAATATAATGCAGCTTAATAGATGTTGCTTGATTCAGAAGCTCTGCAGAAATGCGTCAGCTCATCAAATATTCTCTCAAAGTCATTGGTCCTTTTCGTTTATATCCAAGTCTTATGGCCCCGCCGTGGCCCTCGAGGCCTGACCGTGCACGAGACACACGGCTCCTGATCAATGATGTCACCAATAATACAACAGGCAGGTGGAAGAAGGTGGCAGATTTGAGGTGCCAGTGGCCCAGTCACCACCAGCCTAATTCGGCATTTACCGCACACAAGGATGCTGATCAACGAAACAGGCTTCCTCATATAATCTACAACAGACAACAAGACGATGAGGAAGCCACACTGAGGCTCGCCATTAATATTATGATTAGTTCATAACGCACACCGGCAGGGATGATAATATGCGTGCAAGATGATGTTGCTGACACTGCGGGCAGATAATTAATTCAGACGCTCTTCCGATGGTCTGCTTCAAAAACATCTCCTCTTATCTCTGCCTATGACGCAAGACGCCCATTTCCACCCCCTAAAAACAGCATTAGCACTAGTCTAGACTGAATAACCCTGCATTTATTGATGACGAAAAGCTAAATTGGACACATATAAATATTGACAATGATTCACGAAGGCATCCGTTGCACGCAGTTGGATGTCGCGCGATTAAACAACAGTCTGTCAGAAGGAAAACAGAACGAATACGCACCCGCGACGCGCAGTTTATCCTTTTTATTATTCGTCAAAATGAACCCTCTTGGAAGCTTTCCTCGTTCCTCTTGGTGTATTTCGTATGTGTTTTTATCTCTGACGAGCTCCTCTGCGTTTCTCTCCGTCTCTCTCTCCTCCACCCCCTCCAAAATACCACAACTGGAGCTGCGCGTCAAAACGGTATTTAAATAATCATTGGAACGCTCGTGGAACAGCTGCAGGCGAATGCTGGCGTTCCATTCGAACCCGCGGAGGATGTGATTTGAAAAGCTGCACTCGGCTGTATCTTTTTCATTCGTTTATTTTTGTCCGGTAAAAGGCCTGTGCTGGGAGGCTCGCAGGTGAGGGGAACAGGCATAGATGGCAGATCCTACCCGTATGGTTGGCGCGTTGACTGTCAATTAGTGATGTTCGAATCGTTTTTGCGAGTCGGAGCTTATTTTAATGAGCCGGCTCACAAAATCCTATCTGAACGATTCCTCCACAATTTGGATATAGAAAAATGATATATAGAAATGTGTTCAAATTACACACAATATAATATGTAATGTATTATGAAACACAAGCCTATATGCAAAAATTTAAATTTTTATTGTATTTTAATATAAATTATATACTTAATAAAAGTAATAATATAATTAATATTGTATAAAATGTTTATTTTAATTTTTCAATTTTTCAATGGTCAACTTTTTAAATTGTACATTGTAATCACAAATACATACGGCCATATGATCACATAAAATTGTAACTTTTATATATATATATATATATATATATATATATGTGTGTGTGTGTGTGTGTGTAATTACAATGGTTGAAAAAAATATGTAGCAGTCAAAAGCACAATGAAATTGCTCTATCACAAACAAACACAAACCAAGATCAGCATAATGATGTATTTCTAGCATCTGTACTGGACTGTAATAAGCAAAGTTTCAGAGGTGATTAAAAATAATGAACAGTTTGTCATTTTTATGGTCGCATTCATGACATAATGTCCTGTTTTTTGCATCATTTATACGTCTTTGGCAAATATTGTGTTCAAATTTCAGTAAATTGTGTGAGAGTTTGCTTAGAAATGGACTGAGACCCATGTGGGGTGTCCAAACTCAGTCCTTTAGGGCCGGTGTCCTGCACAGTTTAGCTCCAACTTGCTTCAACACACCTGCCAGGAAATTTCTAGTATAACTAGTAAAAGCTTGATTAGGATTAGAGCTAAGCTCCACAGGACACAAGCCCTCCAGGACCGAGTTTGGACACCCTTTTAATGATGCTCAGATCAAAGATTATGGATAAAAAAACTATACTTACTTAAAAAGTGCTTAACAAAAAGTAAAATGATTTACTTAATTGACTGATTTTTTACTCAGCTGCAGCATTAAACAATACTATAGTAATTCAAAGTAAATACTATGGTGTTTTTTTGCCATGCTGTAAACAATTTCCTGTAGAATCTATAGTAACTTACTGGGAGCAGTTTGCCAGTAACTTACTATAAATCAGCATAAATACTGTATTCACAGTATCGTATATCTTAACTGTAAAATAAACAGTAATTTTCACAATGCTACCATAAAATACAGTAACATACTAACTGTCCTACAGTAAAATGCAGTTCATATTACAGTTAAATAATGTGTAGTTTATGAAAATTATAAGTAGTGCATACTGTAGTAAACTGTTTTATATAGTATTATATAACTACTCTTTTTTAATTATCGCTACAGCATAGCGTAGTATTAACTATAGTGAACTGGTGCGTTGAAATAAATACTGCAGTAGCTATGCTTTAGTTTTTGCTGTGTATAGTAGTATAATCAATCCTATATAGTTAATTCATTCATTCTTTTCGACTTAGTTCCTTTATTAATCTGGGGTTGCCACAGCGGAATGAACCTCCAACTTATCTAGCATATGTTTTAAGTGGCGGATGCCCTTCCAGCTACAACCCATCTCTGGGAAACATCCATACACTCTCATTCACACTCATACACTACTGACAATTTCACCTGTACTGCATGTCTTTGGACTGTGGTGGAAACCGGAGGATGCAGGGAGAACATGCAAACTCCACACAGAAACGCCAACTGACCCTGCCGAGGCTCAAACCAGTGACCTTCTTGTTGTGAGGCGACGGCCTTACCTACTGCGCCACTGCGTCTTCTCCTATAGAATTACACTGTAAAAAAATGTAAGTCAGTACAACATATAAAAAACATAATCCTTATTTCCTTTTGCTTTTTCTTGTTCACTCTACTCTTGAAAACATTATTTGCACTGACCTAAAATGTCTGAAGTTGAGTGAACAAAAAAACTCTTTTGGAAACTAATACTAGGAAACAATCCATTATCAGAACAAAGATACTTTAATTGAACAACATAAACTAAAACAGTAACAAATGTTATCAAAACATTTATTAGACACAGAATTAGAAAAAAACAAACAAAAATAATGATAAACAAGACAAGGATCAAAACATGGCAGGGAAAAACAGGACTCAGAAAAGAGTCTGTGTGAATAAGGTGTCTTTACAGAACTACAGTAGTAATCAGTCCATCATGAGCTACCAGAAATTAGCTCCTCCATTTGTATTATAGTTTGAGCATTTGATTTGCCATTTGATTATTACAGGATTTTACTGAGTTGATCGTGAATATTAAACATTAAATACATTTGATTTCTCATTTGAGAATGCATTTTGATTCATTATTTGATCACTTGAGCATTTGTTTTGATCATTTTAATTTTGTTAAAAAAACTTCCATATATATACATTTTTTTTTCTTTTTTAAATATTTGCCAAATGATGTTTAACAGAGCCAGTAAAGTTTCACAGTATGTCAGATAATATTTTTCCTTCAAGAGAAAGTCTTATGTTTTATTTTGGCTAGAATAAAAGCAATTTTTAATAATAAAAAAAAAACATTTTAAGGTAAAAATGATTAGCCTCCTTAAGCTATATTTTTTCTATAATCTACAGAACAAACCATCACAATAACTTGCCTAATTACCCTAACCTGCATAGTTAGCCTAATTAACCTTGTTAAGCCTTTAAATGTCACTTTAAGCTGCATAGAATTGTTTTGAAAAATGTCTAGTAAAATATTGTTTACTGTCAACATGGCAAAGATAAAATAAATCAGTTATTAGAGATGAGTAATTAAAACTATTATGTTTAGAAATGTGTTAAAAAAGTCTGCTCGCTGTTAAACAGAAATTGGGGAAAAGAATAAACAGGGGGGTAAATAATTCTTACTTCAACTGTACTGTATGAACAGTCCATTTGTAAAAAGGGTTTCTTTTTGAAAAGCGAAGGTAAATTTGAGATGAAAATTCACATTAAAAGTCTTTCTGCAGCTGTGCCTTCCCCCTAACCCCCGCCCAAATTTTTTTTTACAAATGAATACTAAATTTAAATTAGGTCAACGTTATTGCAGTAGTATTTTGTTGTTGTTAATTTAGTCAGTAAGTTGTTAGATAGTTAGAAATACTGCAACCTTTATTTTTTTCAAGTAAGGAGGTCTGAGATTAACTGGACTTAAAGTAACATGTTAGCAGAAGCTTTTTTGGGTGAACTTGCAAAGTTATGTCTTTTTACTTAATGAAGTAAATTTAGATTTAGTCTAAGTAAATGTGTGAAATGTAATGTACAGACATTTTACTGATTTTTGCCAAACTAACAAAAAAAAGTAATTTCAAGTTGTATTTTTTTGTAGGTAATTTGTTTATATAGCCGTAATATACCACAGCAACTCTAGAAAGTCCAAAACAGATAGATTCATATATTTTACTAAAGTACAGTTCAAAAACACCGTACAATTCACTGGAAATTACTATAGTATTCATTAATGTGAGAAGGTCGCCTATATTTATTCTTCTATTGAGGAGTCTCGTGTGCTTGCTGTAACCATGTGGAGCAGCCGTGAATAAGCTTTCATTTCTTTGTTTCATGATACTATTTATAATAAAAAGTTCTAAAGCCAATAAATATTGTCTAGTTACTTGTCACCCCAAACTGTATACAGCAAATAATACAAAAATCTATTTGGCCAACATTTTGTGTGTGCTGTATTGTTTGATGTCGAAAACATACATTATATTTAGACTCTAAATAAATTTTTTTGTAAACTAGACTTTTATGAAGCTTAAAAACTATTGATACATAGGCCTAATTTATTAATTTTGTACTTATTTATAGACGTATTTATTATTCTAAATGAAAGCTTGTGTGCATTACTAACTACATTGTAAAAAGTAAGCCGACGGCAGGATGTTTTCATCATTAACTGAAGTAAAGTTTGACTTCATGAATATGTGAACCACAAATCTGCTACTATGTCTATTTTCTGTTATTATAGCCTATGCTATCAATGTTAATTGCATTGCAATAAAAAAGTCACTTCCTTAGTGACAGAATCCCCTAAAACGCAAATATTTAACCCTGTGATGTCAGTGATCATGTGATAACCGAAAGAATCACTGAATCGTTTTTAGAACCAGTTAAACCAACTGATTCGTCAAAATGGTTCGGTCTACCCCCCATAAACACCAGTGTTGAGGTGTTGTTTTTGTGTTCGACTCACTGGCGCCACCCTCCGGTTGATCTACGGTAACGCAAGACGCAGACGGCGCTCTGCATAGGAGCTGTCCAGCGTCTCGGTGCTGAAACTTGCCCTGGCGGCTCTCAGCGAACAGCAAGAAGGTTTGGTATCAGTTCAAAATAAGGCTTAAACCCCCAGCAGCGAAGACGTTGCTGATTCCGATGCGTCAGTACATGGACAAAGGTAATAAAAAACATCTTCGCAAAGAAGGAGGAGTCGCTCCTCCAGCCGTACGGAAGCACTGAATGCGGAATCTATACTGTGTTTTCAGGTCTGCAGATAAACAGAGGAAGAAGGGACGTGGCGAGAACGAAAGGGGGACAGAGAGACTGAGTAAGACTGTGGAGAAGTGGTAAGCGAATGCATATGAAAAGCACAACTTATTATTTAAACAAAAAAAATCTCGCTTCAAGTGTCTGAACGGTAACTTGTAATGTTCGGTAAAAATCGTCTGTTTCCGTCATCACGCTTTCTCTCCGAACATCCGTGTGCGACGTTTTCAGCAACGTGAGAATGATAAAGAGCACAGAGCGACTGCAGTAGGAATCATTATGTAATAAAGCAAGAGAGATTTCAGACCTTGCCAATTGATTAATATTCATTATATGTGGACAGCTGGATATTCATTATTGCTCATAAACATGGATGAAACTGAGAATTTAGGTATGGTGGATAGACTAAGTGTATTGATTTCACTCACTAGGAAAGTCTCATGTTACGAGCACTTACTGAAGTTCATGAAGGTTATGATTATGGAGTGATTTCGCGGTTTATTTATTTAGTTTTATTTGTTTATGGACAG